AACAAACTATCACGTCTGATGGTTTTGAGCTGGCTGCACACGTCACCTGCGGCCCCCGATGAGGTGCACCTCCACAGGGTCGGTTCTCTCTAAACGGCGGTCATGTGTTTTTAGAGGGGAACATTGTGATGGAAACATTTGCTCTTCTGAAGCTCGAAGGGAAATCCTGGGAGATGAGGGTAGACCTATCTGCACACAGTGTGCTTTCCATGTTCAGCGTCCGCAGGGAGAAACACCGATATAGCTGCAGCTGTCCTACATCTGTCCACCAGCTGCCACCAGGGGGCAGACCTGGAGCTCTGCCCTAAATGTGTGTCTGTCATGAGTTTAAAGTGGCCCTAATTTATGGTTTGGACAAAATCAGCAGAGTTCACACATGAAACACAGATTTTATGAGCTCGTACCTTCTGTGTAAGAGTGTAAAAGGCAAATAAAACCAATGTTACAGAACAAATAACGACTTCAACAACCTGGAATTTAACATGAAGTTAACATGAAGCCTCGAAGAGGAAATCTGATTAAGTACATGTTAGAGATAAAATCACAGCATGCAATAACAGAGCAGCTCTCAGTCTGGGTGGCTTTAAACTCTTACCCGCTTTTATCCTCTTTATTGCTCTAAATCACCAGATAAACTCAAATGACCTGTAAATATTATACAACAGCATGCACAGCATAGGTTTGAGAAGCACCAGAGTGAGAGCTGCTCTGGGTAGAGATCACCCTGCAGCACCAGCACAGTCAGTAGCCTGTAAAATGGAAAGCGATGGTTAAAGTTAAGAGTTGGAAAGAAAAGTAAGAGGGCAGGTGTTACAGCGACCAAGTGTTCTTACATACATCCCCAAAACAACAAAATATGTCATGTCAGCGATGCTGTTTGTGGAATCCAAATTTTAACTTGCATAAAAAACATTTGAAGGGTCTCTGCTGGAGTCACTGACCACCATGTAGTTGGAGCTCCGGAGCAAAACATGGGTTTACTTGTGTTTCAGTGACATACACCTCTTCAGTATTCCAGATAATTAACAGGAATAGAAGAAAAAATGAGATTTGCAGGTTCAAATTTTAGGATAAATATGCTTTTTTTAAAGAAATACACACTAGTAAAACTCTGGGCTCATCTGGTATCAACTAATGTCCTTGTTTTGCAGCAGAACTGCTTCAGCTGTATCGTCGTCTTTTCTTTGTTAGAGAGATTTAATACTTATCTCTGCACAAAACGTTTGTGCTGAACGTGAGAATGTTAGTGCAGTAAAGGCCATCGTGGGGCAGCTCTGAGGTACATCATAGACATGCAGGTACACAGGTAAGCTGCAGGTTTGCTACAGCATAGATGTGTAGGAGCTACTCTGTAGGCTCGCTGTAGGCGTGCCATACATTTTGGCTAGGTTACCTAGGTTATTCCTTCGTCTACACCTATATATGCTGTAGATATGCCATAAGAATACATCAGTATGCTATATGTGACATCACTGCGCGCCCTGTAAATGAGTGTGTCTGCAAACAGCATGGTGTCCGTGGAAACTCAACATTTTGAGCTAAAGTGGTTGAAAGTGCAGAGGTAGCCAATCAAAGAGGAGCTTAACCAACAGATCCAAGTGGTGAGAGGAGGTGAGAAAGGGAGGAGTCCACATCATCCCAGAGTTACAGTTAGACAGTTCACCTGGTTAGAGGAGCTCTTATTAGAGATTAAAGGGAAATCATCCCAGCAGGAGGTTAATTAGGAAGCTGGACAGACGGCAAGATGAGGAAGCATCTGTTCCTCCTCCGACTAACCAAGCGGCTGGGGCTGCGGCCCCTGGAGTCAGCGCTCCTGTCGGGACTCGTGTCAGGGCTCCTCCGGGACCCCACAGGCTCAGAGTAGGCGGGCTCGGGGACGCAGGTGATGCGGATTCGAGGTGTGTGAATGTGATGTCTGGTGGGGCTGACGTGGACAGGGTAGGAGGGGGGACGGGGCCGAGGTTTGTACCCAGGGAGCTTGAGGAGCTCTTCAAAGTTGATGTCTTGCTTCTCTGTGAAGGAGTTATAGTTCTTTGGGGCGATGCGGGGGGAGTTGCTCTGAGCTCGATGCATCACCTGGAAGGCAAGGTGGGTGTTTAACGAGGAGAAGACGCACATGAGGACAGGAGGAGGACAGGAGGAGGACACTCGCTGGTTTTGGTGTCCAGAGAGTGAGATCTGTGATCTGCATTCACATTTGTTTGATGGGAGGAACGTAAGCCCTCTTTACAGAAACACTCCAAAAGGCAGAAAAACATCTCACTACGACTCAGTTTGACCTTTAACACGCTGAGCTCATCACCCTGTTAGTGACGAACACGGACGACTCAAGTCACTACACATCAAGCCTTTTTAAAATGAAACTCTTATTTTGGTAGTTTCTCCGCCTGTTTGTTGCCGCTCTGCTGTTTCACCTGGAAAATGAAAGAAATCAGAAAGTTGTCACTTTTATTTATCGCAGACTCTTCTGCAGATCAGCTCCGATGATACCTGCAGGGTGGGAAACTCGAAGCGCGTCCTGAACAAACAGAGCGCGCTGGCCTTTGATTCACACGACTCCAGCTCAGTTAGTGCTGCTATAAATGGAAACATCTGTTTGTGTGAGTCTGAGTGGAACCACAAGCTGCTCAGTGGGTAGAGTCTTGTTCCTGCTCCCACATATAAACCAGCCTTTTGTCTTTGCAGCAGAGCTTCACCTGAGTGTATGTGTGCACATTTGGATGCTAGCAGCACCTGTTTGCACAGCAGCGTCACATCCTCAGAGCGGTAAAAGCTCTTTTCTTGAAACATGTTGGAAGGTGTTGGTGCTTAACCACTTTTCCAATAGTCACAAAGGGAAAACAAACAATAGTCTGACTTTTAGTGCGATCGAATGTTTCTCATAACATGTGGCAAAAAACTTGTTTAAATGTAGCTGTATTCTTCATTTTGTCTTTATTTTATGCAAAGATTTGTTTGTAGTAATCGATCAAAAGCATCAAAAAATCAACAATCAGTTTCAGGCTCTGTGTGATGTCAGCGGGGACAGGGTGTCACTAATATGGCCACCTCTGCTGCGAGGGGCAGCCAATCAGAGCAAAGCCGCCTTGAAACAGCTTCTTCCACACTCATCAACATAAATGATGTTGCCGGTTAAATGACTTGTGCCCCCCCAGAAGCATGCACCGGCACTAAAATGAAAGAAAGTAAGGCTCGTCGTGTGAAACTGCGTGCCTGCAGGCTACCTCTTTGGCCCAGGTGGGCTTGTCGTTGCTGCTGGGCGCCTGATCCTTGTAGTGGTACAGCTGCTTCTTGTCCTGCGGCGGTCGCGCCGGCTCCTGCTGCTGCTGCAGCGACACCAGGTACGCCCGCTCCTGCTGCAGCTGCCTCTGCAGCCGCTCGGCCTGCCGCTGCTCCTCGATCTGCTTCCTCTTGTACTCCTGCACACAGAACAGAGAGACGTCAGCTGAGCGCAGGTCGAGCTGCAGAGATAAAAACAACAAGGATCACATTTCCTCAAACAAACAGGCTCGTGTGCTCAGCTCAACATGGCCTGTGTGCACGAGTGCAAAGAGAAACCTTTATGCTACTTTAATTATCCTGCACGTCTTGAGACCAGCTTGCATTTGATCTGCATGTAGACACCAGAGCACTGGTCCTGTGGTGTGTTTAGACCAAATGCAAAACCCACCCGCTGAGATTCTCCCACAGACTGCGAAGCCCGCTGACACTGCTGACTATCAGGATGAGAGAGAGCTGAAAAAGTGGAGCTCTTTGATTGAACTTTTAGATACATGCAGAAAGAATCGCACGACTTCCTCAGAAGCTCTTGTTAATTCCAGCTATCAGCTGTAGTTTGGAAGGAAGTAGCTCTGCCACTGGCTGTTAGGAGTAGACATTTGTGGGTGGAGAAATGATCCAAGAGCACTCCAGTGACTGCAACACAATTACAAAACATTTGTAAAAAATCTAATTGCCATGCTGGCTAACTCTGCTGCTGCCTCTGAGTAGAATAAGCGTGAGGTCCGTCTCTGCTGCTTCCATCCTGCACGTTAGGCCTGACACGTCAGACGCTGTCGAACCTTTGAGGTGCTTTTTGGTTATTTTAATGAATGATGCACCAAAACTAAGCAGCATGGAGCGACACTGCACTGGGGAGGAGTTGTTTTATGATATCACGAACACGTTTAATTTGATGTATCTTGATAACGACCTCCGAGCCACCTGAGCTCTGGGTGTCTTTGTTTGCTTTGCTGCAGGTGCTAATTAGTTCTATGAGCTCCACCTTTTTCTTACCCCCAAGTTCTTCTCTGATCTGTGACATGAAATGAAAGTAATGGCTACTAAAGGTAAAGATGCTGGGAATGACACTGGTCTGCGTAAAGGAACGTCAGTGTGTAGCAGAGCTGCAGCCACAGGAACATGCAGAGCTGCACGCCGTCTGCAGATCTTGGTTCAAGGCAAACTTTGATGGTGCTGCACAATTTTAATATTCATTTAAAGCATCAGATTATAGAACTATTACAGTCACTATCAATGTAAAATGAGCTTTTTGAAACGCATCCCGCACTTTATACTTTACTTCTTTTTTCCCCATTTGTTTCTCTATTAATTGACTGAAAGAGGAAAATTCTTAAATATAAAAAGAAATCTTAGAGAAGCGTGTGTTCTTACGTCGAGGGTTATAAGTGACGAGCTGAATGCCATCGGCTGACATTTCTCCTCACACTGTAACGTCCCTTTAGAGGTCTGGCATTTATCTGAGCCACGTGTGAAAGACTGCAGCAGACCTTTTAGGCGTGTGTGTGTGTGAGTGACTGTGTTTACGTATCTTTGTGGGGACCAAAACGTGAACGTTTACTGTGCTTGTGGGGACCAACGGCCCTTCTGGGGACAAAATCCCAATTCCTACGAGTTTGAAGACGTTTCAGAGTCACAATGTGGGTTTAGTGTCAGGGTTAGGATTAGGCACTCATTTTGATGGTTAGGGAAGCATTGTGTCAATTAGATGTCCCCACAAAGATATGGAAACACGGTGTGTGTGTGTGTGTGTGTGTGTGTGTGTGTGTGTGTGTGTGTGTGTGTGTGTGTGTGTGTGCGCGCGCACTGATCAGTTTGCACCCCTGACTGTTCTGATGTCACTGACTGAGGAAGACGCATCATCACAAACATTCAAGCTGAATAAAGTCTTCCCAGCGCCGGCGGCCATCGACTGACACGCCCACTGCTGCGTGTGCTGATTGATTTGATGTTTGTTAACTTTTTCTGTGAAAAAAAGAAAAGCCTGACGCGTGAGTCATCTCGGCTTGGTTGGTATTGATCGATTATTGACTGGCCTCACCTTCGCGTCACACTTTATTTATTTGAGTAAACAATAAACAGGCAGACTTCCTGGAAACCGTGCTGCTTTGATTTTTAGGAACCAATGAGAGCCGACTCTGGAAGTGACTTCCTGCAGACCTGGACCTCGCTCTTTGCACCTGAACATGCCATCGCTCAGACAATAATCTTAGTGATTTGGTTTCGATTGGGACCTTTTAAAACTGACTTCTGAGGACAGAGTGTGTGCGTCATGAGCTGTTATTGTAATTATAAGAATTTAAACGTTTAAAGGGACATAAATAAGTCCCCAGCTTTGGGGCGACCGTGGACCTGGTCGTTGTGTCCTTGGGCAAGACACTTTACCCTACCGCCTACTGGTGTTGGCCAGAGGGGCCGATGGCGCAATATGGCAGCCTGGCTTCTGTTAGTCTGCCCCAGGGCAGCTGTGGCTGCAACTGTAGCCTCCACCAGTGTGTGAATTTGAGAGTGAATGAATAGTGGAATTGTAAAGCGCTTTGGGTGCCTTGAAAAGCGCTAAATAAATGCAATCCATTATTATTATAAAATATTCAGTGAGTGTTATTTCAGTTGCTTTCTGAGAGATGAGCGTAAAGCTGGGGTCTCATAGCCTCGAACGATTATCATCTAGTCTCTCGTGTACCTGGGGAAACCTGACCAATCGTGCCTGGACATCTTACATTTTGGGGCCAGTGGTGGCTTTTACTGAACTGAAGTTTTAGGAACGCAGCCCACTCCTTTATGGGTGAATGCTCCCTGCTCAGTACGAGGTCTTCCTTTACTTTGGGGTTTAGTAGCTGCTTGTTAGGTTGAAAGGTAATCAGTCCATCTGTTTCTCCCTTGATTCAGAGCTATTATAAATCAACTGATTTATCAGTGTGTGAAACAGAAACGTGCTGTTTGAACTCCGGACAGATTCAGGAGATTATTTTTTCTGTAGTTGTTCTTCTGACTCAAAGCGCTCAGCAGGAAATAGTTGTTTCAGGAATTCTTTAAGTGCTGCAAACACTCTTTGTGGTTTAGTTGAGGAAGTTGCTTGGATAGAGGATACAAAGAAGGCAACCATGATGCCCACTCAGCAGGAGAAAAAGCCCCACACTGTTAACTGTTAATGCACATCAAACTGACTTTAGATTAGGAGGCTGTAAAGCACTGGGTGATGGTAGAGGAAGCAAACTTGGAGCTAGCATTCTTCACCAGGTATAATGTAGCATCCTTAGCGCTTATCAGACAAACGAGGCATTTCCAGGTGCTTCTGGGTGGGAAAACCTCCTAAAACTTATTGCAGAACATAACGAAGCTTAGAAATCAAGCAAACCTAAAGCTGCTCCCAAGCTAGCCTGCACATCAGCCTCCCACTGAACTCACCCGGGAGCATCAATCCCAGGCCTGGAGACCTGAGGCCCTTCCTATGTGAATGAATCATGTAGCGTTTTAACAATTAACACAAACAAATTCAAATGATCACCACTGTGTGACAACACACAGTGAAGCCTTCCCCGAGTTCCAGGTTAGCTCACCGGAGACCACGACAAGGCCAAAATGCAGCAGCCCAGGTTTGAGTGTGACTGCTGTGCTTTCCCCTGCTCTCTCCTTCCTGTTTAGTCGTCACGGCTGCTGCATTAAAAAATGCCCAAATAATAAATATTGTTTTTTTAAACCAACGTGACCTCTGGGTCTAAGCCAACATGCTACTGCCGGAAATCTGATTTCTTTTTCTACCTGCCAGCAGGGGGCGACTGCTCTGGTTGAAAGCAAAAAAGACTTGTGGTTCTATAAATGTCCATGAAAAAAGGACTTCAATAACAAACGAGTTATCGTGGCAGCTGCACCCATCTGTGGTTTGAATGACCAAGCTCGCTACATTTGTAGAATCCAGGGTTGGAATAGGATTAACAAATCTGCTTCTAGTTCATGCTTCTGTTCTTTCACTTCTCTTTCTCGTCTTCCCCCAACCGATCACAGCAGATGTCAACACGTCTCTGAGTCTGGTTCTGTTGGAAGTCCCTTCCTGTTAACAGGGAGTTCTTCCTCCCCGCTGTCGCCAAAAAACAGTCATCTGATTGTTGAAGCTTTCACTGTAATATTTCAGATTGTGTATCTTAGAGTTTAAGGCACTTTGAGTTTTATGTGAATAAAAAATCAAAGCAGGGTACTTTGAGCCCGGCGTTAGGCTCTGCCCTTCATCAGTCTGTGTGTGTTTGTGTGTTGTGTTACCAGCAGTAGGGCCTGCTCCTGCAGGAGCTGCTGCTGCAGGATCTCCAGCTGCCTCTGCTCCTCCTCCAGCTGTCTACGGATATACTCCTAACCAATCAGCAGCCCCAGCCAGCACCACAGGCAGCCAATCAGAGAGCGACCAGGAGAAATGGAAGCGAATCGGAGCCCAGGCAACCAGTGACATCACCCGAGGAGGAAATAGAAGAAAAGGAAAAAGGAAAGAGGAGGAGGACAGCCAAAAGTAGGAGATTTGTTGAAGAGGTGTGAAAGTAGGGATTTAGTCAGGAACAGGCGAGGAGAGAAAAAAGAGGAACAGCAGGAGGCCGTAATTAGTAGAACAGAAAGACAACATGCTTATTATTAAGATGGCAGTGTTAAAGATCAGTGTGAAATCAGCTGTGCAAGAGGAAGAAATCTCTGTCTGAGAGAGCGTTAAGGAAGCGCTGCTGCGAAGTTAACTACGAGTCATTTATAAGTCTCGTGTGTTACAGTATCAGGCTGGAGGTGTGGCGACCCTGCAGCTGAAAATCAGCAACCCGAACCACAACGAGCACACAGCCCACATCTGTGTGTAAAACCTTCACGCAGCGCAGGTTTACACGTTAAAACGAGTTTTCTCTGTCTGTCAGACATGCTCCTCATCATCCGGTGAAACCTTAAAGCCTCATCATGTAGCATGTTTCCCCTCAGTCACATCACAGATTTTTCTGGACTAGAAAATGTTCTGTTGTCACATTTCACGAGTGACCGGCTCCATAAAACGATCGATACCACGTTAAAAGCTGCAGAGGGATTATATCTGCAAGCGGCTGCTTTCTGTTGCTTAAAGTTTTGGGACAAAAAGAGTAAAGAGTAATCTATAATCGCAGAATTGTTTGACATTAATTATAAACCTCTGAAATTAGAGGTTTGAGTAAATGTATTTTTAGGCTGAAGCAACATGACTGAATTTCCATTTTGGTCCAGAAACACAAAAAGCTAACTAATTACAAGCTTCTTTGATTAAATCCAATTTAAATGCCAAATTTAAAATGCATTAAAGCCACAAACTTGAAAAACGTACAATCTGAATATTTTAAATGTGGAAAACGTCATGAACTGTAGTCACACAGTTAGAACAGAAGCTCCGTGTAGACCACGACTGTTTTAAGTGATCTGTTTACCATTTTACACACATCACACGTCAAAGGTTGTAGACGGATTAAAGGAGGATTATTTGTGTTGGTGCTTAAAATATTAGCACAGCCTTTTACTGCACAATAATACATTTTTGCATAAATGTTTGAGATAAAATGAAGTTTTACAGTCATGTAGTTTTAAGCTGAGTCATGCTGACTTTTAATCTCCACTGTAGGATAAGCTCTAGAGACATTAGAAACCTTCATTTCCCATAATGCAGCTTGGAAATTTCTTTAATTCAGGTCTCATTTAAACCCTGCATGAATAATGCATGAGTGATGCAGCACGAGAGTTCTCACAGGCTGTGAAGCAGAAGTAAAATGAGGGAAAATGCTCCTTTAGCTTTCAGCTAACTGAGTGTGTAAAGCAATAAAACACAGAGCTGAGCTCAGAGTGAGGGACGGAGCGCACAGTCATCAATGATTTGGTCGGAACACCAAACCATCTGGTTTATTATGAATGTGTTGCTACAACAGTAGAGCTAATTAATTTGTGTTTATTTAACAATTGGTTCAAATTTGCTCGTGTAACAGCTGCAAGTTGTTTCCTAAGACATTAATAATAATTCTCAAAGATTAGTGAGAGCTTATTTAGGTCTCTTATTCTCTGTAAGAAGTTTATGTTCCTGTTCCCTGTTCTAGTTGTTGTAAAGCTCATTTATTTATGATTAATGTACAAATTAACTACCATAAATTCTTTCTACAGCGCCCCCTGGTGTCTGGAGGCCAGCATCTACAATATGTGAAATTCTCCTTTTACATAATCTCTGTAGCGTCTTCTCTGATTTGACATTTCCATGTTTCAGTCGCTCATCAGAGTAACTGACAGGAGATGTGCTGAGAAGCCACACCCCCCCGTATGACACCTGTCAGTCAGGTGTTTCCGTACCTGCTCTCTCTCGGCGTGCCTCCTCTCCTCCTCGCGGCGGAGCTGCTCCATCTCTTCATACCTCCTCCTCTGCTCTCGCTCCTGTTGCTTCCTCAGCTCTCGCTCGCGACGCTGTTGCTGTAGGTGGAAACCGTTTTACACAACAACACCTCAGCTGTCTGCATGTCCGTGTGTGTCTGTGTGTGCGCGTCAGGCATGTTTTCCTGGCATTTGGATGAGCTGAGGTGCTAACAAACAGGTGTGATGTGTTTCACATGCAGGAAAAGTGACTTTATAATCATTCTGATCTGTTTCTCACACATTCAAACAGCTGAAGGACAAATCGACTTCCTGTGTGTAACGTAACAATCTATCGTTGTCATTATTATTATTATCTGCGGTCTTAAATCTACCTCCTCCAGCCGTCGCCGCTGCTCTTTCTGCTCTTCTATACGTTTTTGTCTCTCGGCCAGTAGCTGGCGCTTGTGCTCCTCGTTCTGCTGCTGCTCCAGCTGCTGACGCCGGATCAGCTCCGACCGCTCCTTATTGGCCAGCTGCAGACGCAGGAAGTCTCGCCTCAGCGTGGACTCGCCCGGAATATTGATGATGGAGCTGGAACAGGATTAAGACTTGTTTGAGTTTTAGCGAATCTGCAAACCTATGGACGAGCAGCAGTAATAATGGGAGCATATAGCAGGTCTTTGCTAAATAAAAGAGAAGTTTAACCACCATAATGTTTTTGTTTGTGAACTCTCTTTCTGAACACCCATCATGTTTTTTGGAGCTAAGAGTGAGCATCGTCAGATGACAGGGTGGAGTTACAGAACGTGAAGTGCCTGCATTCGTAAACTGTTAAAGTGTCACATCTGTAAGTAAGTCCATGGTTGTTATATGAAGCGGTAAATTCTGAGACTGCAAGTGAAGCTACAGCTGAAGTTCCAAGAAGCTGCAGTTCCTGTAGTGGCCACTTGAGGCTGGTGTCAGCGTTGAGTCAGCTGAAAGGATGTTTAATAGACAGCTGTAGCATAGAGCAGCCAGACCTCTAACTTTAAGCCCTAAATAAATTTAAACACGTGAGTTATTTTGTTTTAAACACTTGTGAAGGTGGAAGGTATCTACAAAGACCAAAACATTGTGTTTTAACAGGCTGTAAACCGTTCATTTCTGTTGCAAAGCTGTGGGAGTCGATGGGGAGTGTCTCACTGTCGCTGCCACTCCGGCAACTGGATTTGTGGTGCTTCAGTTTTGGATTCTAGATTTCTGCCTGTTAACACCAGCAGCTACAGTGGAGGCTACGGCATGAGTAAACATACCTGGGCTCTCCTATGTCCCTCTCTTCATCCTCTTCCTCACTCCCACTGTACTCGTACTCCGTCTCATCTGAGGGGAAAACAAACAGAGATTTCAGGTCAGTGTTTACATCTGTTGACAGCGGAGGCTTCAGGCAGCTGTGAGCTGAGGTGAGTTAGTGCCTGCTCACCTCGCTCGCCCCTCCTCTTCTTGGTGCGGTCGATGTGGTCCTTCAGCTGGATGCGGACCTGCCGCTCGTTGGGGAGGTCTCTGATGAAGGGGTGCTTGAGGAGCTGCTCGGTGCTCGGCCTCTGGCTGTGACTCTTCACCAGGCAGCTCTCTATGAACGACTGGAACTTCTTCGACCTGACCGCGAGCACACACACCAGTTAATCGCTGATAGCTCTCTCTCTTAAAACAGCAGCTTCATTAAAGGGAGAGCTGCAGCTTTACCCTCTTACAGGCCACTGTCACATCGTGTTTGTGTAGAGATGTCTGACAGCATGTGTGTGCGTTTAAGTGACTCACCACTTCTTTGATTTGAGTCTCGGGGCAGGATTTCTGGGGATGAGGAAGAGCGCCCTCATTGGATGCATGTCACACAGAGCTGAGGAGGCAAAAGGAAGGAAAGGAGAGAGAGGAAAGGAAAGAAAGCAAGAAAGCAAAAAGATAGGAATTAAAAAAATTAAAAAGGAAAAATGGGAGAGAGGGGATGAGATTAGGAAAGGTGCCAAAATGTGGATAAAGGAAAGGAGAGGAGATGAGAGAAAGGAAATGATGCAAAGGTGGAGCAAGAACAGGAAATAAGACAAAAGGGAAGGACAAGAGACAAGAAATGATGAGACATGAAATGGGAGAAGAAGACAGGAGAATAGGAAAGGAAAGGAGAGCAAAGGAAAGGAAAGGAAAGGAAGGGAGAGGAAAGGAAGTATTTAAAGTTGCAGGATAAAAGAAGGGGAGGGAAGGAGACAGGAAGAAGAAGAAGAGGTGCAAAGCAGAAAGAGAAAAAAGAAAAAGACATCGATTTAGTCGTTTAGCTCGCAGACAAACTGTGCTGTGAGTGTCAGCTGATAACGGTGTAATCACACTTACGTGGCGCTCCCTCTGCCATCTCTATGGCTGTGATACCGAGCGACCACAGATCACTCTGCAGAGAGAGAAACACGAAACGTTCACATCCTCCCAACGTGTTACCGACTCAACACTTTCAGGAGATCGGCGCGCCAATCGGTGTACTTGTTAAGCGATAAAAATACAGTCAGCTCCCCATCTGTGCCTGTGCTGGAGATGCCCGTCTTTAACATTTCAACCATATTATTATTATTATGTTTCTGTTTTTAGGTGCAGATCTGAGCTGTTCGTGCTGTCAGACGGACTCAGGCTTTCTCGTCACGTAAAGCCCCGGAGGGTTGGAGTTAATGGTGTAGGCGCACATCCTCCACCAGCTCGCCACAGGGGTTCGTCCTGTCCCCATTACAGCGCGCTCCTCTTACAGTAACCGCTGCAGACCCACTGATTTCAGCTCTCTGAAGGAACGATACTCGTTTCTGTTGGTGCGCTCGGGTAGCAATAATCAGAGATTACACAACTCCAAAAAACAACAGATATGATGTGAGAGGGATTGTTTTTAAAGGTCAGTGCGCGCTGTTTGTTCACAGCTACAAGCAGTTTGACTCGGACGAGAAATTGAACTACAGGAGCTCCGTGAGGGCAATTTAATAAAAAAGAAAAGCAGGAAAAACTTTACCTTTTCCTTCGTTTTAAAGTGTACTTATTTAGGTTTGTTTGACCAGTGTGGAAAATCACGCGTGCACTGTTAAACTGGATCTGTACTCGTGAGATCTTATCCCAGCTTATTAAGTGCAGATTTAAATGCTCCTTCAGTTCAGATCAAAGAAACACGGAGACGTCACTGAGCTCCAACAGCCTGATCAGATCAGCTGTTACGCTAATGTTTAGCATCCAGGCAAAAACACGATTTATGAAGCGTAGCTGAGCTGGAAATCCGCCCATAAACTGTACAGCACTGCTGTAACTTTGTAATTAAAACAAGACGCAAAACTAAATATGAGCAATTTGAAGGGATACATACAGACACATTAGCACAGAGATGGAGGATGAGAGCTGTTATAGGAAAACCTCAGAGACAAATGCTGTCCTATGGCAGGATGAAGACAGCGAAAATCGACCAACACGAGAGAGCGTCTCAGGTCATCCCATACGACTCCTGCTCAAGCTTAAAGCTGGTGCTAACATGAAGCTGGGGAGGCTGAGAATGACTGGTTCATTTTGTTTGCTCGGGGCCCAACAGAGGAGACACTTTTAGCAGGAAAAACAAGCTCTATAAATCATCACTTATCTTATATGATCCTGTGCTAATGACTTCACCCGAGTCTCCTTTCGTTTATCAGGTAAACTGGCGTCTGTGCAACACCAGCTGTGCTGTTTAACCTCACAGAATCAATATGAACTAAACCCTAATCCATTACCAACGATAGGATCAATACAAAACCAGCACGACTGTGTGAAATGGCTCCACACGTCACTAATACAAGCGCCCGTGGACGATGTTCTCGGGTTCCACAAACCGAGGGCTGAACGATCTTCTGTTTTCAGGAAACTCAGTGGTGGTTTAGTGCAGCATAGGTTACCATGACGATGTATCCTAGTACAAAGTTAAGCCTAAAGTTAGCTCACCGAGTCCTGAGGCGACTGTTAGTTAGAATAAATTACCTTGAAGTCATACGTGGCATCAGGATTCTCGTCACAGGCGATGACCTCCGGGGCCATCCAGTACGGGGTCCCAATAAACGTGTTCCTCCGTCCCACCGTACGGTCCAGCTGAGCACTCACACCAAAGTCCACTGCACACAAAACACTGTTCATAGCGCTGCGGTGCAGTGCCGAGCTGTACATGTTATGTTTTTGACAGCACGCATCCAGAGCGGCCCCTCAGGAGCCTTCTAACTATAACACAAGTCACCATAATTAGGATGAAACTTAGAATAAATGCTGCTGCTTCCTCACCGAGTTTGACCTCCGCGTTCTCCGTCAGCAGCACGTTCTGGCCTTTGATATCTCTGTGGATGACCTTGTGCTGGTGGAGGTGGGTCAGACCCTGGAGACAAGGGGAAACAAGTGGCAAAGGTCGTCTTACGATCCAAAACAGAACAGCAGGAGGCAGAGGAGAGGCTCGCTAATCCGTGAGCTTCATCGCTTCATTATTTCAGTTCAGCTCTTTGAGGCCAAAATATGCAGATACACAAAACCAGGTGTACATGTTAGATTTGTATTGTTGATTGTCATTTATAATTAACCAATCTGCATTTTTCCTTACAAATCTGTCATTTATATTTATATAAATGTTATAAATTTGATTTCATTTATTTTAGATGCATTTACAAATTTCCTTTCTTGTCAGTTTTGTCCACACACATGTGGCAGACTTTTTCTTTTTTGCAAAGACTCTGACGGTGTTCCTCTGGGAAACAACTGGGTGTTTCTTCTTTGTGGGAAAACATGTAAACATAGGCGACAGCGTTTTGGTTCTTACCCTGAGGATCTCTCTGCAGATGTAGGCGATCCACTCCTCCTTCAGGGAGTTCCCTTTGGTGTTTTTGATCAGATCTGTCACCGAGCCGGCCCCGCAGAACTCCATCACCAGCTGCACAAACATACGTGCAGTTTTTGGGTTTATTATTAACTGTTCACTTCACTGCAAACCTCTATCAGTCATCTCATCCTTTGATCTCTATATACAGGACGTGTTGTCGTTGTGGGTCAGGGGAGCTTTCAGTCAGACTGATTTAAGCTCAGCTAACAAAACGTGTTCGTGTGACTAACCCAGAGCTGGTCGTCCACTCCTGGAGGATTTTTCTTGATGAAGGCTCCATAATAGGTTGCTATGTTCCTGTGGTGGCTGTACTTCTTCAGCATGTTGATCTCGGCTTTAATCTCCTCCTCCTCATCCTAAAGCACACAAACGCAGAGACAGATGCAGCACAATGCCAATAACACACACGGTCCCAGTATAACAGAAAGGCTGGATTAAAGACGGTGTGTGTCACTCACGCCTGTGACATCCATGACCTTGATGGCAGCGAGCTGGCCAGTTTTGACATGGCGACCCTGAAGAACACAGGTGGAGAGGCGATCAAAGACATGAGTCACGGATTTGGATCTAGGACACATTTACTCAACATTTCCGTCCCTTAATCTCTTAAGAACAGAGCAAACCCAGTTTGCTTCCTCTAATTCCTTGTTTTGGAGCGATTTCTGATGGGAATCCAGATGAGCAGGCCTTAGCCCTCTGCAGAGCAGGTTTCTGGGGACATATTTATGTTTTGCACTGTCCATCTGTCCAGAATTTGTGGACAAACAAAAGTGTACAATATACAGTCAGAGACTCTTTTGCAAATATGGTCTCAGTAAAGGTTGACATATTATGGATCCAAGTTCCAAATACTGTTCGAAAATACAGCAACAGCCCTTATTCTCAGTATATTCAGCTGGAAAAAAAACACCTTTACCATGAAACTTCAAAGAAAGAATGATGATGATGATACAGAATCCATCTAACCCAATGTCAACTCCTTCAATAGGCTTCCTCAACGACTAAAATAGAAGCCGGTAGATCCAGATGGAAGACGTTTGATTTTTAACATGTCTTTAATGTATGAAAGTGTGCATGTAAACCCAAACTGTGGTCCTGTGTGCATGCTAACTGGACTGTAAGGAGCCCGGCTGAGATTGGAGAGGAAACTATACAGCTGACAGAGAACCAGCGTTCGAAACCTGACAAGCTGTTTTTGTGGCTGCTTGAGACTTGGGGAAGTCGATGTCTCATTGCCATATGAAGCATCATATTATGCCTCATTATTATGGGGTCTCCTACTAACCTGCTACGCCAATCGGCATGTTGAAGTGTCCTCGGGCGAGATACTGAACCCTGGGCTGCTCCCAGTGCATTCACAGTTATGTGAATGTGTGCATAAATGTTGGGTACAGAGAAAATGAACGCATGTATGTGATTGGGTGAATGAAGCTTTTAGTAAAAATGAATTAATTAGAGTAGAAAAGCACCGGAAGTGCTGCACACCTGTATTTCTTCTGATGGCCAGCAGGGGGCAAAAACAAGTCTGACTGTAGAGAACTCTGTGAGAGGAAAGGTTTGGTTCGCTCTTAGTGAACACTTTCCTGATCTATTCACAGTCTCAGTTGCTCGTTTCAAGGTTTTGTAAATACAATATTATATTTATTAAATATTAACACTCAACAGAGTCTAAAAGGATAACTGCCACATGAGTGTGCAGCATCCCTCTTTGGTTTGTCTAGCCGATGACTTCACACTAACTATGATTGCATTCTTTCCTTTTACATACTTTTTGCCACATGTCTTACTACGTGATCCCGTCTGACAACACACTGTTCTGATCACAAGAGATCGTGTGCCCACGAGAGATGTGTCTGTCTGCAGCTTCCTCCAGCGATAAAAGCACGCCGCTTGCTTGTTTATCGTCGCTGTTACACTTCACAGACGTGTGCAGCCAGATAATCGTCACAGAAGTGAAAAATGAATCACCAGAAAGTACCCTTCACATGTAGCAGAACACTGTGCTTTGCAAACACCTGAGAGCTCCTCTGCTTTTGAATTCAAGTGGGATGCTTTTACATATTCATGCTGTACTATTTATTCATTTTAAGCTCATTAATTCACCTTTAAGTTTGGCCTGGTCTAGAGTTCAGCCACGTGTAGCTTGTCAGGTAGATGAAAACGACAAAGAGCCAAACAGAAGTAAGAATCGATACTTTACGTTACATTGAGCATCGAGCAGCAGCTCTCTGGGAACAAAATTCCTTATTGGTGTTATAGATTAGATTAGTTCGCCTTGTAATCGGAAGGTTGCCGGTTCGAGCCCCGGCTCCGACAGTCTCGGTCGTTGTGTCCTTGGGCAAGACACTTCACCCGTTGCCTACTGGTGGTGGTCAGAGGGCCCGGTGGCGCCAGTGTCTGGCAGCCTTGCCTCGGTGGCTGTGGCTACAATGTAGCTGCCATCACCAGTGTGTGAATGTGTGGATGACTGGATGTGTAAAGCGCTATACAAATACAGGCCATTTAGTTCATTTACCAGAATAGCTGATAGGCTGCTGGAACGATAACAGTAACTCAAACAGCTACTTGTAACAAACAAGGAATACAGACGTGCACAACACAACATGTTGAACCTTGAAACTGATGTTCCACAGCAGCAGAAGAACACAACAAGTGTCCTTCCTGTTAGCTAAGAGGACGAAACTGAGGCTACAATTCACAGGTTCACCAAAACTGGACAGCAGAGGATTGCAAAACGTCGTCTTGTCTGTGTTTACTTCTCCTGCAACATTCCGATGCTAGGGCCAGACTTTGGGGAAATCAGCAGTTCAGGCTGCGGGTGGTGTAATGGTGTAGTACCAGCTGAGCGTCATTTAAACACCAACCTATCTGAGTATTGCTGCTGACCATGTCCATTTCTTTATAACCAGCGTACCCAACTTTATGTTGTGCAACATAACACAACATGTCGCACAGTTTAAGTCACCTCAGTGAGTTCACTGTACTCACATGACCTCAGCAGTCACCACATCTTAATCCAGCAGAGCACCAGATTTACATTATGGATGCTATCATGTCAGGTCTGGCTGTACCTAACAAAGTGCAAACAACTGTCCCATTAATAAAATAATTCATTCATGGTCAGCGCCCCTCGCCAAGGACTCGCTGATATTTATACTCCCAGACGCTGCAGATATAACGCAGAATAACCATGCGTTCAACTCTGCATTTAAAATATAAACTATAACAGGAAACTGTTCAACTCATGGCTTCAATCTCCGGTTTGTCTTTCCAAAGGTAAAGGCCCCGCGCTCACTGCAGGGCACATCGCCGCAGCCTGTTAGCTCCCATTTTTTCAGCACTGTGACGACTTTGAGTTTAAATAATTTACAGTGAAGCTGAACTAAAATCCAACACTGAGTCTAACATCTCCTCCTCCTCCTTCAAAGCGAAGCCGGTATCACAGCAGCTGTTAAAGCGAGAAAGTGGAAATTCATCCACCTCACTACACACACACACACACACACACACACACACACACACACACACACACACACACACACACACACACACACACACACACACACACCATTTCCTAACGGTAACCTAGCAACAGGCCTGGCAGTGAGGGCAATGAATGAATGTGGGGTTGGAGGAGGCAAAGCGATGGCAGTTTGTGTGTGTGTGTACATGTGTGTGTGTTAGAGGCCATGATATTTCACACACTGGGTCACTTGCACATGTGAGTCCCTCAGATTCAGACACACACGCTGAAATAGACAAGCTCACACACACACACTCACGCAGACGGCGTCTCGGTTACTCAGCGTTGCATCAGACACTGAATATATCTGACAGGCTGAAATCACCTCGGAGTGCTGAAAGTCTCTTGTTCTCTCCCCGTCTCTCTTGTGCGTCTCACATCTTTTGTTTCCTGTTTCATCGCGCCGACTCCCTCGATTTCTTTCACCTGTGCCAAGTGTTCGATAATTCAGCCTTTGGAATCGTCAATAACTTTAGGAAAATGTCAGTTTTTTGCTTTAAAGCTGATCTAAAAACCAGCCTGATGATTCACAGCGTGCTAACAATGCCAGTCACATTTTACCGAAAGCTGACCTTGGATCTGTCGTTAACGATCCAATCGAAACCTTTCTAGTCAGATGCCATTTTAGTAGATGTGCTGTGAACCGACTCCAACCTTCACCCACCAGCTGCCATTAAAAGCTCAAGTGTACACCAGCCTCCCTTTAAAATATGATAATTAGTTTAGTCTCCACTGTCTCCCAGTCAGTTCTATGACGGACAGGCAGGAGTGGAAACCACAAAGCAAAACTGTCCATTAATGTCGGTGTAAAGCTTGATTCACGCTCGCTCTGATCGGTCTCAATAACAAACAATGCGTTCGTACCTCCGCACGAGAAAATGTGCACAGCTCTAAACTCTGAGCTGGCCTAACAGTCGGGGAAAAACCTGACGAATGAACACAAATCACACGCACCTTTCCTGCTGTCTCTGTTTATTTACGCGGTGAGAATAAAACTGATTAATTACACCGAAGCATCTTTTACAGCAGGTGTCTAAATCATTTTAGCTCGGGGGCCGCAAACAAACAATTTGATCACAAGTGGGCTAGACCACCACAACTGCTGCATAATAACATACAGTACTGTGCAAAAGTCTTGAGCCACCACTAATTCCTTTATATTCTGCAGGAGAATGGGAAAAGATGCAGTAATGCATGGAAACATGGAAAGTCATTTGGTATGACCGCCTTTACCCTTCAACACGGGCTGAACTCAGCTTTTTGTCATCAGGAATAATTCTCAGACATCAAAGTTCTTCTCTGGGAGTTTGTTCTGTTAACATCGTCCCACACTGCTTCAATAATGAGGCTCTGTGCTTTTCTATTCATGTGTGTTTTTAGTGCATTGTCTCTTTGGGGTCATTGTTTCCAGATGGTATTGTATCCGATCGCACTTTTATATGGAGAAGATCTGCAACACCATTGGATGAAATGCAGCCTGAGACCATGACAAACTGTGTTTTCTAGATGGCTGTGGACTGTAACTGTTGGACCTCTCTCCTGATGAGGCCTCAGTAAACAGTGCAAACACTGAATGTCCAGATACATCGCTCAGGTTCTGTGTCAGATCTTTGCTGGATTTTTTAACCATTTCTTAATGACTTCCAGCTTGTTTATTCACTGTAGATCATTTTCAGGCCTTCTCTGTTCTACACGTGTCCGGTTTCCTCACGCTTTTAAGGACACACTTTACATCATGCTTAGATGTGCCATGTTTTTAACTAATAGCTCTTTGGGAATCACCTTGATGGCGCAAAAATACTATTATATGTCTGACAATTATTTTTGGCATCTTTCATAGTTTCAGCTAAGAAATGTGAACAATCAATGTGATACAAGGTTATTTACTAAGCTGTGTAGACACAACACTGATTTATTGCTTCAGTTAGTTCCTGTTTTATGCTTTAATGAGGTCACACTCATAGGTCAGTGTAAAGTGGACTGAAAAACTGC